CATTTGGAGTGCTCCTATGGCTTGACGTAATCGTTGTATCTTGAGAGACGATTGTCGAAAAATCATTAGCACCGATGCGGGGCAAATTCATCTTAAGGATCAAGTCTCAAACACTTGTCTCGACCAAAAATTCATTACTTGCATCTTTCTTCCTACAATTTTCTGATTTCTTTTTATTATATTTTGATTTCAGGAAATGATTAACATTGTTTACATGTTTATGTTGCAAGGTTCGATCAAAAGAATAATTTGCTTTCGTTCAAGAATCGAAAGGAATGAATACATATCCATACATTCAGATTCGATAACTTTTATGTTTTACTTCTCAAATCCTATTTCGGTAAGTAGAAATTACGTTTCGATTTCACGCAAATAACCGGTATACTTTTGTGAATATAATATGCACATAATCGGTGTATTCCCCAACAAGTCATATTAAAGATATCACTGTTTTGTTGGAGTCATATCCCTATTTGTACAAGGTTCAGCCCTATTTCTATTATGGTTACTGCAAGATTTGGCAACCATGTTTATGAATCATTGTTGCTTTTTCTTGTTGTGTTTTTGGTGTTTATCAGGTTCAAGCCTATTTGTACGATAGCCACTGGGAAGACATTGGTACTATCGAGGCTTTCTACAATTCCAATTTAGGGATCACTAAGAAGCCATTACCAGACTTCAGGTTAGTTTTCTTGATCTCTTATTAGAATTTATGAAGGAATTTTTTTTTTTTAACATGTGATTATCTTGTGTGATGTAGTTTCTATGATCGTTCCTCTCCAATCTATACACAACCTCGGTACCTGCCACCTTCGAAAATGTTTGATGCCAATGTTACCGACAGTGTTATTGGTGAGGGTTGTGTCATCAAGGTAAGATCAATTTGTCAAAATGGACGTAAAGGAAGTAGCCAATCAAACTATTTGATGATAATAGAGAAATTTGAGCTACTTTAATCGACCCATTCTTAAAATTTGCAGAATTGTAAGATTCACCATTCTGTAAGTGGTCTACATGCATAGAGAGTGTGCACACGAAGTGGCACTCTTCATGCACGGAGAGTGCAATCCGTGCACTGCTTGAATTTTTTTAAATTTTTTTATCTTTTCTTTAAGCTAAGAACTTCAATTTTTCATTTTTTAGAGAAATTTTAAGGTTGTCTGCTATCTACGAAATTTTAGTCAAATTTGATTGAAAACGTGCCAATGAACAAAAATCAGCAGCAAAATGAGGTCAATTTTGGACAAATTCCTTCGTTTATACGTTGTTTCCTTTTTTAGTAAGTTTTGTTTTGGTTATATGTTGATGAATTTAAATCGATTTTGAATTCTGTTTGTTGGAGAATAATTCTTAAGATTAGGACTCTAAATTTTAGTCATCATCTTAATTCTTTCCATTTTTGGAAAAAAATCTCATCTCAAACATTAAGGTAATGAGTGAATATAAAATACATTGATTAAGATTTAATTATTATTAATTAAATAATTAATATTTTCTATAATTATATTTAAACGGGTCGTTTTGCCATTCAACATTGGAAAACGATATCATTTTGTATTGTAAATGCAGGTTAAAAAAGGGATAAAAAAGGAAATTAAAAATAAAAATAAAAAACATTATTATAAAGTTTTTTTAATTAAATTGAAATAATTAAAACATAAAAATAAATATTATTTAATTAAAATTGAAAAAATTGCGTTTTATCGTAAAATAAAAAGAATTAAAAAAAATTTAAATCGAACAAAAAATTATTTATAATATGAAGGAAAAAGAAATTTTAAAACAATTTTCAAAAAAAATATAATAAAAGAAACTTATGAAAATTAAATAAAAAATATATAAATATTATTTACATAAAATTGAAAAATTAAGTTTTATCGAAAAGAATTAAAAATAATTTTAAATTAAAAAAATTATTTATAATATAAACAAAACAAATAAAAAAAGAAAAAAAATCTCTCCGTGCACGGAGAGATTTCTCTCCATGGATGGAGAGCCTCCTCCATCTGATGATCAAACTTCAACATTTCAATATAATAAAAGCAGTAGCTTTAGCTTCCAATGTATCAATATATAAATGCCCTCATCAAGTCCAACATCATTGCACTCAAACTCAACTTATATTAATAGCAGCAGTACAAGTTATGAAGATGAGAGAGAGAGAGAGAGAGCTACTACAGTAACACGTTAAATTTCGATATTCAAGATATCTTGGATGCAAATGAATTTATGTAACTTAACTAAGAATGAATTTATCTTAGTTAAATGTTTTTCAAATCCTCTGTGCTTAGTTTGGACTTAATTTCCTGTTAAATTAATTTCTTTTAACGCAATTTTTGCTATTTTCCGACAAGGAAACATCATTCTTTAAATGGTTGTTTGTGCTTCTTGTGGAATTTCCATTATTAGCTTAAAATCCAAAATTATTTCTTATCTTGTTTGTCACATATCTTATTATATTCATATATTAAAATTATTTCTGATTTCTGAGTCAACTAACTAAAAAAAAAAAATCCAATAGTATATATATATTTTTAAAATTTTAATAAAAGTCAATTCAAAAAAAGAGAGAAAAAAAAAAGAGGCAAAAATGTAAATGAGGGGAAAAAAAGGAAACTAACTTATCGCTAAAAAAAAATCAAATATAAGATTAGATACTAGAAAAATATGAAATCATACACAAATAAACGACACGTTAAACTTAATGGTTACAGTGAGATAAAATGGAACATATCATTGTTCATATCTACAGTAACTTCACATTCTCCTTTTTATATAGTAGGGAGTGGGCAAAGTTGAACGTGCATTGTACGTAGGAGTGGGCGTGGTCCAGTTTCATCTGATTTCAAAGGAAACCGAACCGAACCGAATACCGATGAGAATTTTAGAAATGAAACCATTGGTTCCATAGCTACTTGTGGAACCGAACCAATCGGTTCCGATTCGGTCCGATCCGATTCTTTACATATTAAAATAAAATGTTCACTAATAAAAACTCTAAAAATGCTACTAACGTGATACTTTTAAGAAAATATAAAAGAATCGAACATACTATTCAAAGATTTATTTAGGTATAAATGTACAAAGTGAAAACAAAATAAAAATTTCGAATCTTATAAATGAAATTATATATTATAAATAAATTATATATTCTAATTTAGCTTGAAAATCAATTAATCAAAGAATTATAAGAAGAGACAAAGAAAGAATCAAAGAGAAGAAGAAAAGTATTGGAGCCTAGATTAAGAAGGAACCCGATTATTTTTTATAAAAGTGTTGGAGATTGAGTCATATATTTTACCAGAAAAAATCCAATGAGAACCATCTGGTTCTCGCGGTTCCCATGCTAGAACCGGGAATCGATCGATTTTTAAAAATTTGTCCCAAAATCAAATTGTTTTTAAGAAGATCTGCGATCGAATCGATCGGTTCTAAACGGTTCCAGTCCAGTTCCACCGATTCTGAAAAAAAGTGCTCACTCCTAATTGTACATTATTGTAAAATACTTTATAAATGATGTAAAGTAATATTTGGGAGCAATTGTTGGAGGATTTGATGAGTCTCGAACAAATTAAAGAAAATATAATTTAGCATAGAAATTTGAGAGAAGAAAATTGTACTCAAATTGTACTCTTAAAATTCAATTTCTATGAATCAAATTTTTTGTAATGATGAAATACTATAAATGAATAATCTTTTTTCTACATGCAAATTTGTGCATCATCACATTCTTTCCACCACGGCGTCTCTTTTCTTTCTTATCGCCAAAGTCACTGCCAACCCATATCTAGTTATAGTAAAAAATCGGTGGTGGCCACCAAACTAGGTTTGGTTTTAGTATGTAGTGAATGTCAATCTTTTCACTATTTTAAAGCTGATCCTTGTCTCAGAATTTGTTCTATTGAGTATCTGACTTAAAACAAAAAAAGGAAAAAAAGGAAAAAAAAAGGATCTATTCTTGATTCTTTGATTAATCTCAAGTCAGTGTGAAAAAATTTCAATGACCGCTTCCAAAATGCAATAGTGTGTCGGAAGTTACTCACTATAATCACTTCTATTTTGTGTCTTTAACAGAATAGTTGATCTGACATATAGATTTCATAGATTAAAAAAAAAAAAAAAAAAAAAAAAAAGGATCTATGTTTGATTAATCTCAAGTCAGTGTGAAAAAATTTCAATGACCGATTCCAAAATGCAATAGTTTGCTAAATGGTCAGTGTTCATATTTACTATGAATAGGAAAGCTAGAAGTGTGAAATAGTTAGTTGTTCCAATAATCACAAAATTAGATTGGTATTTTCGATTTCTCACTACATCATAAAATGTTGACTTTTGATTACTGAACTTTTCAAAGTGTCGGAAGTTATTCACTATAATCACTTCTATTTTGCGTCTTTAACGGAATAGTTGATCTGACATATAAATTTCATAAATAGCGCTCCATCATTATTAGATGTCCAATCACAGAAGGACAGTCCTCCTAAGCAAAACATCTTTGATTGCTCGCCTCGCTATACCTTGGCAGGTGTCTTTAATTGTTTTCTATGCTTTAGATGAGTAACATAATATGTTACTTATATTTTATGTCGATGATGGACAATGGTGTCGAGTGATGTTAGACGAGAAACATCTATGTTACTTGTGATTTCTAGTTGTGTTGTTGTTTCAAGTGAATAAAATATATGTTACTCCGTGTTTTGTGGTGTTGGACAATGATGTTGAGTGATTTTAGATAAATAAAATAATGCGTTCGTCGTGATTTGTGGTGATAGTGATGCAGGTTATGTGTTAGGTGATAACGGATAGTGATGCAGAGTGGTGTTAGACATGTAATATAATGTACTACTCTTGTTTTTGTGGTGGAAGTGTTGTAGAGAGTGGTGTGGAGCGGTTTTAGACATAGTTTGTTACTTGTATTTTGTGGCGATAGCATTAGCATACAATGTGGTACACAAAGAAAAATGATTGAATAAAATAAGACGATGAGGAAATCACTCTGGATGGAAACTTGGAGCGACTAAGGAAATTATCCCTTGTAAATTGGAAAAAGTAACTCAATCAAGAGATGGAGAAGGTTTGTGAGGTCGAGGTATTGATATCGAGAGTTTAGATCGAGGACTCTAATGTCAATGAATTTGAAATTATAGGTTGCTGAGGAAGATTGATGCATGCCTCCCAACTTCTCTAGTTGGACAATGTCAATACCTAAAGATGGAGCAAGATAATGTATGAGACACTTGAGAACGTTACCGATGAGAGACTCATATAGTCATGTCATTCTCTTGCATAATGCAGGCGAGGCATATCTCATTGAATCAATCTTCTTTGTCCCATTGTGCGTTTTGTGGCAAAATAGTGGTTCAAAATCAGTGGTGGACTTAGAAAGCCCAGGCTAGCTCTAGCCCATTAGGTGTAAAAAACAATTTTATTTTTGTAAAATATTTTTTTTACCTATTAGCCCGTGTTAAAAAAAATAATAATAATAACAATAAAAATTAAAAAAAAAAAATACCCAACTTTAGTTAGCCCCACGTTGTGCTTAATTAACGAGTCATTGTTTCTACGACTTTCCCTGTTTTAGGGTACTCTTCAAGCCTTCAAGTGCCAAACTTCCCTTCAGTCGACTCCGAGGTTCTACCCTAACTTTTCATTGGTTTCTTTGTCTCTTAATAAAATTTATGTATATTAACAGTATTTACGAATAATACAGTGACAAATATGTTACTTGAATATGTAATTCATAGAAATATTGTTTTATAATGAAAAATTAAAATATTAATTTCAAATGAAAATAAGATATATTTTAAAATCAAAATGAAGTACATTTATAATATTTTTAACCAAAAAGAGATTTCTTAAAAGAATAAAAATCTTACGCCTTTTTTCTAAATAAAAGTAGAATAGCTTTCCTCCAAAAAAATTATCCAAATATATAAAAGCAACTTTTTAAAGAAAATTGCTTGTTGGATAAAATCTATAATATATTAAAATATTACATCGAGTTAGGATAATTTTTGGACGA